GGCTCCCCGATGCTTCCATCTTCACCCAGTCTTCCTTCTGGGTTCGTGAGCTGTGGTCATCTGATTGACTGAGCCATGATGCTGCCACTCACGCGCATGCGCAAACAGAGTTTTGGCCGCAGAACGGATCTCTCAATGGACAGCACGCCATCCATTGAGAGCGCAGTGCGCACATGCTGGTGGCATCACTGCCCCTTCTACAGTAAATATCTCCTACATGGTGCACGTTTAGGAGATGTTTACAGTACCTACAGGTAAGCCCTATTAAAGGGAATTTAAAGTAAATCTACTGTCACAGCATACACTTTCATTTTTACATCAGCATTGTAATGCCAATACAAACAATAGTATATCTACTTGATGCCAAATCATGTACATGTACATCATTTGGCTTTAAGTGGTTGTACCTGGATGATGCCTGCACCTTCAGGCAACATCCTGGTATAATTTTTTTTTAAGCCAGTGGCCAGCAGGTAGAGCCTGGAGAGGCACCAGCGGGTGACAGGAAGGGGGAGATGACCCATCCTGCCGCCTGTAAAAGCCATCCAGCGGCACATTTCCTGCTAGGATGGCTTTTACAGGTGGCAGGAGAAGTCATCTCCCCCTTCCTGATGACCATTGGTGCCTCTCCAGGCTCTACCGTCCCACCAGAAAACCAGAATGAAAGCAGGGACTTACCACAGAGATCTCAGAGGACCGGAAGGTCCCCGATGATCTCTATGGTATAGGAAACCGGGAGGTAAACGGTGGGAAAGCATCTGAGTACACCGATCTTGGTGTGATTAGATGCTTTTTCCAATCTCTCTTTAGTCTACCTCCATCAGTTATGCAAGAAAAATGACTCTGCATTTGGTTCAAAATCTCACCTCGCCCGAAATCTCACGGATCAGACTGATCTTGGTCTGATCTGATGCTGTTAAGGGCAGAGAAGACATCTAGGGTGTATTAAACCCCAGATGTCTCAATAAAGAGTACCTGTCACTGCTATTGCTGTTGCAAGGGATGTTTACATTCCTTGTGACAGCAATAAAAATGATAATAAAAAAGAAAGAAACAGCGTAAAAAAAAAATAAAAAAAAGTAATAATACATTTTTTTTTAAAGCACCCCTGCCCCCCGTGCTTGCTCGCAAAGATGAACACACGAATTGGTCCTCTGCACATATGTAAACAGCTGTAACTAAACTGGTAACCTATAAAGTGAGTGAGTTTTTCAGCGTTTTTGCATTGGCGTTTAGCTGCATTTTTTCCCGTTTTGCGTTTTCAGCTTTTTTCCCCCCCAAATTTTTTTTTTTGCTCAAAAAAAGTCCAAAAACACCGGTTTGCCGTGATTTAGTGCACTTTACAGTGGTTTACTGCGTTTTGCCACATATTTCAGTGTTAGAGCGGTTTTACAGTTTTCCAGCCAAAAAATGCCCCTGCCAAAAAAACGTTGATTATAGTCTATGTGTGCATGAACACATAGGATAACATGATGGAGGATTTACTGGCTGTAGAAAAAATTGTCAAACGCCAAAACAGCCGCTGTAAAAAACGTCCAGTGTGCATGAGGACATATAGAGTACAACAGCCTCTGCAACATTCATTTTTACTAATATAAAAGGCAGACCAAAATAGAACAGATTGATAGGCAACTAGAATGTGTTAGCTTTGTTAGTCTATGTTGAGTATATGAGCCACTCGCTGTTGTTCTTTTACATTGTATTGTACTGTACAGGTTATATAAAACACAGTGGACAATATACTGGATAATATGACAGGTGTTCAGATTTACAGTACATTTACTCTGAGCTCTAATGTACACTCATTCTGTACTCTTGAATCTATGTTTGCATGTGATCAATATTCTTTTGTTAATTGCAAATATAAAAAAAAAAATCTCCTTTTTAAAAAATATACTACTAAGTGAACTGCTAATGCTAGGAAACAATGCCTCGATGGTCTGGAGAGCAAAGAAATGACACTATAGAAATAGGTGAATGGTTTCTTCTAATAGAAACACAGAAACATAAAGAGGCTTTAGAAAGTGATTCTGTTGCTGGGGAGTTGCGGGCATCAACAGAATTGCTATTGTGTCATTGGCTTTAATGTAAGATGTATTTAATAGAACACAACTTGATTTATCAAGATGGATGGGATTGTAACATCCTGTCACATGATTATGTGCTTCCTCTTTCTCCAGTGTGTAAAAGTGATCCTAAAACCAAAAACACTCTGGGATGCATTTTACACAGGCTGAACATCTGGGCCATTTAGAACATCAGAGTACTATTTGTGACAGCTGCCAGTATGATGTCATATGGGGGTTTATTTACTAAAGCTGGAGAGTCCAAAATCAGACTCCCTTCTGCATAGAAACCAATCAGCTTCTAACCTCAGCTTGTTCAATGAAGCTTTGGCAATGAAACCTGGAAGCTGATTGGTTTCTATGCAGAAGGGAGTCTGATTTTGGACTCTCCAGCTTTAGTAAATAAACCCCATGATGTCCTGGATTTTCCGTGGTTATACCAGGGTGATGGCGGCAGCTACAGGCATCATCACAGTATTGTTTTTTAGGGCTGGCGATTCTCTTTTATGTAAAAGCCATCCTAGCAGCTAATTAGCCGCTGAATGGCTTTTACAGGTGGCGGGAAGCACCCGCTGCCCTCCAATGCCTCTCCGGGCTTTCCCTTTCGCCAGCTTACCATAGAGCTGATCGGGGAGCGGAATGTGCTTGATCATCTCTATGGTATTAGAAACTGAAAGCAATAAGTATTTGTCATAAAAGTGAAATCTTGTGAGCTGCTATACCAACTGTTCAGTGCCAATAAATTATTAATTTATATGGATATTAGCAGATCGCTTGCACCTTACATATACCCATACAAAGGTGCCAATCCTACTTAAATATCAAAAATTGTGCCACGCTCCACTAAAACAAACAAATATATGTATATATATCTTCAAAATTCATATAAATCTTCCAAAAATTAAGTCAATGCCCATATTCCATCCGTGATCTCTGCAGTTACAATGGTGTAATCTGAACAGCTGTAGCTCGATTCACCTCTGGTTTATTAGCAAACCAATCACTCGTGTACCTTCACCAGTTGTGCTCTCACCTTATATATACTGTATATGACCAAACCGTTAAGTGAGGTCATATAAAGCTTTTGTCCCTTGTATGCACTGAATCTATTGTTATCCTAAGGGGTCTGGATTCCTTTGAATCCTCTAGTAGTCCACCTCCATCAGTTATGCAAGAAAAATGACTCTACATTTGGCTCAAAATCTCACCTCACCCGAAATCTCACGGATCAGACTGATCTTGGTCTGGTCTGATGCTGTTAAGGGCAGAGAAGACATCTAGGGGTTTATTTACTAAAGCTGGAGAGTCCAAAATCAGACTCCCTTCTGCATAGAAACCAATCAGCTTCTAACCTCAGCTTGTTCAATGAAGCTTTGGCAATGAAACCTGGAAGCTGATTGGTTTCTATGCAGAAGTGAGTCTGATTTTGCACTCTCCAGCTTTAGTAAATAAACCCCCTAGGGTCTATTAAACCCCAGATGTCTCAATAAAGAGGACGTGTAGCTGTTGACTGTTGTCACAAGGGATGTTTGCATTCCTTGTGACAGCAATAAAAGGAATTAAAAAAATTAAATTAAAGAGACAGTGTAAAAATGAAAAAATAAATAAATAATAAATAAAATTTTTAAAGCTCCCCCGTTACACCATTCTCATGCACAAAGGTGAACGCATGTGTCGGTATGCTTAGGTATCATGGCAAATGTAAGAGCGAGAGCAATAATTCTAGCACCAGCCTTCCTGTGTGTCGCGTGTAAAGATTTTTAGGTACCGTAGTTTGGTACCGTTCCACAGGCATGCACAATAAAAAGTGTGACACGTTAGGTATTTATTTACTCAATGTAATATCATCTTTAATAATTTACCAAAAAATGGGGGATTATATTGCATTTGTGTGTACTAAAATTCATTAAAGTGGAATTCCAGTGAAAATGTACAAAAATAAAACTCAGCAGCTACAAAAACTATAGCTGCTGCCTTTAGAAAACAGTGCCCCCCCCCCCCGCAGCTCATTTCATCGGCCGCCCTGTGTTCCCGATGCCGGCATCTTCAGTGTGGGCACCCAGCTTTGACAACTTGTGGCTTCACAGATGGGTGCCCACTGCACATACGCAGGTAGCACTGAATGGTCCCGTAGTCTTCTGGGACCTGTCAAGTGTCCCAGAAGACTACGGGGAGCGAGGGGGGGGGGGGGGACAGCTTCCACTTCCGATCAGCTAGGCAATCACAGTGGACCTGTCAAATTTTGGGTATCCGCTCCAGCCCCCCCCGGCTCCCCAATGGTGCCAATCCTTAACAGGGAGCGGGTGACCAGTCTTTAAAGCGGAACTTCCCCTATAGGGTAGAGCTTTGCTTTAAAGTTTTTTTTTTTCCCAAAAATCAAAAAAAAAGCTGCACAAATACCAAGTAACATAAAAAACTGCAACGCCCACCATTTTATTCTCTATTTAAGCCTCTACTTAAAAAAATTAGAGTAAATTGTATATATATATATATATATAATGTTTGGGGGTTCTATGTAATTTTCTAGCAAAAAAAAAAAAAAGATGTTTTTTACATGTAGAAGAGAAAGTTCAGAATTGGCCTGGGTCGGAAGTGGTTAAAGACACTCAGTGGACAGGTAGTAACCTCTGGGACAAGTATATCAGAAATGTTCGTGTTTGTATTCTAAAACTCCTATTTCATCAGCGCACCTTTAAAATGGTATGTTGATGAGCAATAATTAGCAGTAATCCAAAGCAACCAATCAGGTTTATAGCCTGGAGCAGTCAGTAATCAAATAATGCTTTATGACTGGTTGCAGTGGTTTAATTCACTATGCACATTCACCTATTAGAACACAAAAGTGAACTAATTTATCATGTAGTCACATCAGAGCCAAATGGTGCTGTGGAACTGAAGTTGCTAAGAAAGTGAATAGACAGAATCTTGCCTTACCTAGTGGCATGCCGATACCATAGCCCTTTGTATCAAGTAATCCCCCAATTTGGGTGAGATTGCAGTTGAGCCTGCGGTGGTACTCATTCATGGTGGACTCCAGTAGAAAAGCATAGCGAGAGTTCAGGACACGGGCTATTCCCTCCTCCGTGCTCTTCACAAACACACTGGGCTGCTTGGAATTCATGTAGTTCCACATGCGCTGGTAGGTTTGATATCGGGAATTCTGGGGGAACACAATTGTCAAAAAAGCTATATAGCCTGACCATGATAACATATAGACAAGTGACCTATTAAACCTACAGTATATACTAAGAAGCAAAATGTATGATTAGATGAGGAAAAGTGCAATCAAGAACCCAACTTCAACTCCAACCCAACTTGACTAATGCTATATAATTTAACTTGGAAGGTCCAACAAGTCAAAAAGTGTTATGGATTTGGTATATAAGAATAGAGATGTACAAACCTGGAAGAAGGTCATGGTGGACCCACCATGAATGGTTCCATATTCTATATTGGTTTGATCAGCAAGGTCATCAGCTGATTCGATAGGGACTTCCATTCTTTGTACGGTCAGGAAGGCAGCAAGGTTGGCAGTGTAGGAGGAGATGATGATAAGTGTGAAGGCCCACCTAGAGAAAAGCCCATGAGTAAGACAAACAATTCCGTATATACCAATCACCTATAGAATTCCATTTAAGAGCTGGATTTAGATAAAGTGATGCCTAGTAATAAAAATTATTTTTATACAGTATATTTAAAAATCTCCTATCCAGCCAAGTGGCTGTTTGTGATCATAATACCCTTAAATTAGATACGTTAGATCTGTTCAAAAAGAAAAAAAAATGTCCTGAGATCGATTCTTCTTAGCATAAGTTAAAATTTTTCTCCACTTTTTGCCCATACTAAGCAGTCCCAAGATAGGTAGAGCCCCAGGCAAATGCCTCATTTGCCGTACCCTAATGTCTATTGGCCATGTGAAAAAACCTATTGCAAGGATGTACTATTAATAGTAGGATTAAGCCACCATAGACAGCTACATTCCTCGATGGCAATCCTGCAGCTCCTTAACTTACATCCTACCAGTAGTGATACTACAGGCACTGGTATATAATTAGATTAATACAATTATCATCATACAGCATTATCTTTCAGTCTGCGTTAAACCTGACCCAGATAGCCAAAGAGAACTGAAAGATGCTATGGTATGTTGTTTTATTTTCAAAATTCATAGCCCAAAAGACAATTCTAATATTCTCACCACAGGAGCAAGTACATCATTGCAGTTTATACAGTATAGTAGATCTTTCTTTTTCTCAGAAAATCTGGAATATTTTGTATTGTGTTTATAGCTAAACCTTTTGGATAGAGTAGACAAGTATTGGAACCCCTATCAGGTTTTTTGCTGTCCGTGCCCCCACTGAGGAGATATATTATCTTTATTTGTCCTTATATCGACCAAAATAAAAAGTGATATAAATTCCAACAATTTATAGTCGTCACCAGAACAGGAGATGAGGGGAAATCTTCCAACAGGAACACCTGTTCCAGTGAAAGCCGTCTAAGAGGAGTATTTAACCATCTTATTTTAATTAAAATGAAAAAAAAAGTGTGCAGCCCTCTCCCCCGCAGATACATATCTAAGCCTGATGTTGATCCAGTGATGTGCATGACAGACGAGGCTCTCTCGGCTCCCTTGCTCCTCATTGGATCAGATACAGCAGCTGGAGCCATTGGCTCTCGCTGCTGTTAATTAGAGCCAGTGATGAGGAGCGAAGGGCAGGACCGAACCCCACTTTGTGTGTCTTATGGACACACAGACCAGCACTCGGGAGCGAGCACACACGAGTGCCCACAGAGTAAGCAACTTACTCTGGGGGCACTCAGCGCGGGGGGTGGGGGTGGGGTTGGATGTGTGGAGCACTGCTGGGAGACTCAAAAAGAGGAGGATCTGGGCTGTCTCATGCAAAACCAAAAACAAAGGATGAAACTTACCAGACACCACTGACGCATCTTGTCGACAAAGCCCTGGGCATGACCTCTGACCCCTGCTGCATAAAGCCTCCTACAGGGAACCACAGGCTGTTCCCCAGTGTGTATTGGTTCTCAAGGATGTGGTGGCGCTCACGAAGGCATGGGTGTGGGTTGTACCACTCATAGGGACTCAGTCTGGTGGAGAAAGAGGAAAAACCATTACCCAGTTACACATTTTAAATAATAACAAGGGTTATAAAAGCATACAAGCTGTTTTGGGACTGCTGGTTGCAACATTCCAACACCTAGACAGGATAGTTCTCTTCCACTTATGAAACTGGGCCAAGGTTTCCTAGTAGACATCTGCTTTAACTATACCTAGTTGGTTCTACCTATGGTACCTTTCACCCGCCCTACGCAGACATCATTGCCTGTATGATGTTTTTTATATCCTCTGCTACTCGTATATGTCATTTTAGTGCCATTAGCTATGTACCTGCATGATTACACCTTGCTATTTGATGCTACCTCTTTTTGTTTGTATAGAATGTTCTACAAGTGCCCTTTAGTCCTTTTGGACCATTCTTTTTAAATATTTGTTAGTCGCACCTATTTTTATGTACAATGAGCTTTGTTTTCCTTTGTATAATGTCTCTATAATGTCTCTCCACTGTGCTCATATGTAAACAGGGTCTTAAAGTGTCCCAGATGCTAAACAAGTTTCACCAAAGCTTCTTTCTCGAGCTGAATATCAAGCGGTATCGGCCAGTTTAACAGAAACCAGCTGACATTCGAACCTTGTGTACGGCAGCAGGTCCGGCTTCTTTCGAAGGGGCATTACAGAAAAAGATCTGCTGATCAGCTTTCGATCAGCACTCTCAGCCAATGGCTGAGAGTGCTGAGCGGTGCGTTCTCGTGGGGTGAGGGGGTGGACAGTCCCTCCGTCCAGGGGTGGACTGACTACTCATGGGGCCCCTGGGCAATAGGGGATCATGGGGCCCCTGTGTCCTTGCCCAAACTCAAAAAAGCCTTTAAAAAAGGTACCAGGGGCATCTCATGGGGCCCCTACTGACCCCGGGCCCTCGGGCAGTGCCCGAGTTTCCAAATGGTCAGTCCTCCCCTGCCTCCGTCAGAACACAATAGCACCATTTGTGTTAGTACAGTGATCTGTCAGTTTGTTTTCATTCAGCCCGCTGTGTTGAACGAAAAAAAAAAAAACAACTAATAGTGTGTACAAGGCATAAGGCTGCCCACACATGCATTCTGATTGTTTGATCTCCTTTAACTCCATCACTGAATGGATTTAATGGCTAGGGGTACTGGGGTGTGTTGGAGGGTCTATTGATAATGGGTGCTAGTTGATCTGCTGTCACTTGGGGGATCTATTGTTGCAAGGGGTCCACTGTTGCTGATGGAGGATCTATTGCTGCTTGTGGTGGGCCTATTGTGGCTGGAGTGGGGCTTATGTTGCTGGGAGGGATCTACTGTTGAGGAAGGGGTTTATTTTTGCCAATGGATGATCTTTTGCTGCTTGTGGTGGGTATATTATTGCTGGAGGGGGTCTTATGTTGCTGGAAGGGATCTACTGTTAAGGTTAAGGAAGGGGTCTATTTTTACTAATGGAGGATTGCTGCTTGTGGTGGGTCTATTATTGCTGGAGGGGTCTTATGTTGCTGTGAGTGATCTACTGTGGAGGAAGGGGTCTGTTTTTACTAATGGAGAATCTACTGCTGCTTGTGGTGGGTATATTATTGCTGGAGGGGGTCTTATGTTGCTGGAAGGGATCTACTGTTGAGGAAGGGGTCTATTTTTGTTAATGGAGGATCTATTTCTGCTTGTGGTGGGTCTATTATTGCTGGGGGGGGTATTATGTTGCTGGGAGGGATCTACTGTTGAGGAAGGGGTCTATTTTTGCTAATGTAGGATCTATTGCTGCTTGTGGTGGGTCTGTAATTGCTGGAGGGGGTCTTATGTTGCTGGGAGAAATCTACTGTTGAGGAAGGGGTCTACTGATGCTGGCTGCTGGGAGATCAGTTGTTTCTGGCAGGGGTCTAATCTTGCTGAAGGGGTATATTGTTGCAGGGGGGTGTCTATTTTCTCTTGGGGGTGCCCTACTGTTGCTGGCAGCAGGACAAGTTCTTCCCTTCAGCACGATGGTTTGACAGTTCCGTGTTTGTGGGGCTCATCTTTAGGGGTCCTTCCTGCCCTTTCAGTGGTTATGGGTGGTTTATTGGATGGAAGTGTTCCTGTGTTTTGTAAGGGTTTGCTTGTTTTCTGGGTGTCTTTGTCATGGCAACTGGCACGGGTCTCAGGGTCTTGGAAGGCATTGATGGGTTTTATTATTTTGGTGAATGGTGGGTTGGGCCCATCACAGGTATGGGTGTACCTACCCTAGCAGATTTACTGCAGTAATGGTGCAGGAGTAAGTTGGTTGTATCAATGTTAATTTTAGGAAATTGTCCTCGAGTCCGTGTATTTGCAGCTGGGGGCCTTGAAGTCTATGTTGGTGGTAGATACAGCCGGTTGGTCAATATATGTCGCCTTCTAAGACCCTAGACTTTAAAGAGGTAATCCGGAGTAACAGGAAGGGGAGCAGTGATTAGGTGAGTTATTGCAAAGAATGTGTAATTTTGGAAAAATGCTGTTACATAGTTAGTCTGGATGAAAAAAGACAAAAGTCCATCCAGTTCAACCATAGAAAAAGTTATAATCCTATACCCACAGTTGATCCAGAGGAAGGAAAAAAAAACCCAGCAAAGCATGATCCAATTTGCTCCTGCTGGGAAAAAATTCCTTCCTGATCCCCCGAGAGGCAATCGGATATTCCCTGGATCAACGTTACCTATAAATGTTAGTATCCAGTTATATTCTGTGTATCTAAGAAAGAATCCAGGACTTTTTTGAAGCAATCCACTGAGCTGGCCAGAACCAACTCTTGAGGGAGTCTATTCCACAAGTCTATTCCTTTTCGTGTTTGGAGATTAAACTTCTTTTGCTCCAGACGTAAAGAGTGCCTCCTTGTCCTCTGTGAAGACAAGGGGGCACTCTTTAATAAAAATGGCTGCTATGGCCTTTAAACTCCAATGCGGCTCAGTGTCGTTTTGATCGGGAAGTCACAGGTTTAGGTGGGGAGTTTAAAAGGTTTAGGAACAGCCGTAATATCTGCTATACCTTAGTCATGTAGAATCAGAGTTGGGTGGTGCAGGCAGCAGGACAGGTAAGTATTAACATTTTTTTAGGGAACCTTTTTTATTCCAATATATAGTCGTTTTAAGAGTACTTATCTACAGAGCGTTGTACAACAGACCTAACAAGAGTGACGGAGGGACAGAGGGACTTACATCTGAATGAGGGACATCTGGGAGCTGAACCGTGTCACTCCTATAGAATCTGGCATTAAGATGTTTTTATGCAGCCCTCCGAATAAGCATCTGCACAGCTCAGCGAAGGCAATTATTCACAGCACACCTCCTTGAACACCATCATCCCATGGACAGCATGATCATCAACATGCAAATTTACTATCATGCTCTCAGGACTTTGATGAATAGGCCCCATAATCTTTTACAGTACACTGCCTTTTCCATTTCAGCCGCCTTTTTCTCTCGCTAGTCTGATGTTACTGCCACGGCAATGGATGTTTTGGAACCTAAATAGCCTGAGATCAATACATTATTATACCCCGTGTGACTGATAAACCTATGGGATGAAGTGCTGGCTGAAGAGAATATACTTATAGGAGCTTGTGTCATTTTGGAAGATTAAAAATATGAGGCAAAAAAAAAAAGAAGAAAGTAAAGAGAATCTGAAAGACAGGCATTGACATTCTTCTGTTTTACTATGTAAGTTTTAAAGCGATAATAAACCCCAAACCAAAAATTTAATATATTGCAGATTACCAATTCTTAGATGTGGTGGTTGCATTAGATTTCTTTTTTTTTAGGATTTTTTGCCTTTATTTTTACTTGATGATCTGGCCAGTAAGTCTGTTAGTTTTCAAACTCGTTTAACCACTTGAGCTCCAGAAGGTTTTATCCCCTTCATGAGCAGGGCAATATTTTTGCTATTCAGCACTGTACTACTTTAATTGCCAATTGTTCAGTCATGCAACACTCTACCTAAATGAAATTTATATCTTTTTTTCACACAAATAGAGCTTTCTTTTGGTGGTATTTGATCGCCACTGGGTTTTGTTTTGTTATTGTAATTATATGAATGAAAAAAGACAGAAGATTTTAAAAAAAGAAAAAAACACAAAACCCCATATTTATACTCTCTGTTTTAAAACATATCTAATAAAAAAATGAAAAAAAAAAAAATCAAATTTCTTCATATATTTAGGCCAAAATGTATTCTGCTACATGTCTTTGGTAAAAACAAAAAAAATCCCAATAATCGGATATTAATTGGTTTGTGTGAAAGTTACAGTGTCTACAAATTACAGAATATAGATGGAATTTACACAGCTAGGATATTATACTGGTAATGGTGGTGATCTTAGATTGTACGCTCCTTGAGGGTTAGGGACTGATGTGAATTACAATATATATGTAAAGCACTGTGTAAATTGACAGCGCTATATAAGTACCTGTAATAAATAAATAATAAATAATCAGTGAATGGGACTGCAATAGCGTGGTGGGCAATCTGGCACCAGCTGGTGCTGGCTGGGAGGTACACTGACACTGACATCAATAGTGACACTAATACAATGATACAATATATTACTGTACACTGTCACTGTACTAATGACACTGGCTAGGAAGGGGTTCATCAAGGGGCAATCAAGGGGTTAACTGTGTGCCTAACAAGTGTAATGTCTGTATTATGTGCTGTTTCTACTAAGAGATGTAACTGTTGTACAGTCTCCTGTGCTTTCCAGGGAGAACAAACAGCCAGATCGCTACACTGTGTACAGAATCCTGTTTGTAAACTGTGATTTGATTGGGCATAGCTGATCAGTAGGTCTCTGCCATACATCATTGGCTGACACCTGCTGACAAAATCATGCTGTGTCCAACCACAGAGTGAGTCAGCAGGGGGTACATGCATGTGTACTCCGAACCCGGAAGCAAGCCAGCATCATCTATTTACAGTGCTGAGCCTGCAGTTGCCGCCCAGTAAATCTACTGTGACTGGGTGGCAAGTGGTTAGCAGACCAAGCTGTCCAGTAAAAATGGCAGTTAGGGCTTCTT